TGATAATTGGTGCAAAGTGGGTCTTGATAGCAAAACGAACAGAATAAAAACTTTTGATAAAAGAAAGAGTTGCGTATATAAACTAAAATTTAAATTTAATTTTTATTTTTATTAGAATTTTAGTTAATTTTAATCATGTATTGTTTGAAAAACTAGTGATTGAAGAAATTTATGTACAGAAAATTTTTAATCATCTAAGAAGATGGTAAGTGACAATATTCATGTATAGAGATTGTTTTTATAAATTGGGATGATGATAAGTAGGAATTAGTGTCTTTTTTTTTTTTTTTTTTTTGCAATAATTTCTTATTTAAAATGGTTGATCGGTTTACTGATGACGTGTTGCTAGCATCTTCATTCGCCTGTCTTTTGGCTCTTGGTAGTGAAATCATTTTTCTCTTCAGCGCTGCTTCACGCTGCCCCTTCCTTGCCATCTTGATTAGTTTCTTTGTCCCGATCTTTATGTCTAAAGCAAGTGAACTTGGAAAAGGAGGTGAATTACTTCTGTTCCGAGCACTGGAATGAGATTGTTGGATTTGGGCATAAAGCAATCAAATTAGGAGACTTACATATAATCGAAGAGAGGGAGACACTTCATTTGATGTGGGCCATTGACGATGGATTCATGAGGTATGCAACCATATGTTCATTGAATCAACAAAGATAACCCTTGATTATTTTTCCTTCCTGCTGGCAGCTTAACAATGTATTAGGCCCCTTTAACCTATCCTAACAGTTGCTTATCTGCAAAATATATTAGATATAGATGGATCAGTATTTTCAATATGAAATGGGAGTATCAGACAAATTTTTCCTCCGAGAATTTGTAGAGTTATCTAATGATGGCACTGGTGAGATATGCCACAGTGATGCAAAGCGCTTTTTATCAGCAGGGTAAATAACAAAACAAGGCCTTAATCCGCTATCGATGGTGCACTGTTAGTGTTCTGTTATTTATTATGCTAGTAATTAAAATTAGACGGTGTATTATAAAGAACTTGCATCCTGCATACAGCAAATATCGTGTTTATAGTTATATATGCATGCATACATATATATAGATATATATATATATACACATATATACATATATATATATATATATGCCTGCCGTCTCCTATCAACCAAACTGCATGTAGAATTGAGAAAAGAGAACTTGATAGTGCTTCGTATCATAAACTAAGTACTAAGAGATCATTTATCACATAAATTAGTTTTTTCATTATGTGTATTGAATAATAATATAAATGTGTAGGTCATTTACAAAACCTTTCTCTGTTATATTTATAAACTATAGACAAGTAGGCTCCTCTGTCCATGATGCAGAGAATATGAGTTCAAGCATCTACTAGTAGTCATCAATGTTAAGAGGGCTTTCTCTGCAATTTTATTAGCACGTTGTTGGATCAAAGAAACAATGTACTCCATGAAGACTGCATCGCAAGGTAATGTGATTGGTCCATCACTTGGTAGTCCAATCTCTTCATCTGACATTTTAAAGAGTTCTTTAACAATGGGATTGTTGAGATATGCTATAGGAAATGAAAAATGCCTTTTATCAGCTGTGTAAACAAAAAAATGACTCTTATCTGTTACCGGTGGTGCATTGTTAGCGTTCTGGTTTGCATATCTACTGGATCTTGGTAATGAAATCCTTTTCCTTCGGAGGGCTACTACCCTCTACCACTTTTTTGCCCTCTTGATGAGTTTTTTGTGTTGATCATTCTGTCTTGAGCAAGTGAACTTAGAAAACAAAGAGGTAAATCACTTGTTTTGTTGAGTATCAGAATGAAATTGTTGACCTGATGCATAATGCAATGGAACTGGATGTCGTATATACCTTGAGACCAGTGAGACATTTTTTTTCATGTGGGTTACAATTTGGTGGCATTTATGAGTACATGACCATGTGATTACTAGACATGGACCAGTTCTACGATAGTCCATAGTCTTACATAGATTTATATTTGTGGTTTTGTATCTTGTGGTAGGCAAAAATTTGATGGAGAATCATCTTTCATCTTCACATGGGCCTATTTGGTTATCCATTGACTGGGGACCCATCAATATGATAGTTGGGAAGCATGAGAATGCGAATAAGAACCTGGCAGAGGCTATAGCTTGCAGATAATGCATTCAAATTCGAGATTGAATTGGGTGAGCCTTATGGTTTCTGTCGAGAAAATTAATAACTATATTACAGATTTGGACCAAAATAACCATTTTCCTGTCTGCTAGTTGGTGAAGAAGCTTTTTGGGACCAAGCTGCTATGTCTGGCACATGCTTTGATTTGTAAAATTTCTCTCACCCAATTCTTTAAAGAATTACAGATTTATAACCCTAAAAAAAGAGAGTTCTTTCCATTTGATCATGGGATGCTTTGTTTCTGTCCTCAAAACTCAGGAACTATCACACCCACTGATCAGCCTTGGGTCCCAATTGCTATAAGTACCTAATCACATGGCTTTGTACCCATAACTCCTTCACAGTCTAGCCCATATTGTAGAAAACGTCTCACTTGCTTTATGGTATATAACCAACCAACTTCTTTTATTTTGCATCAGATCAACAATTACATTCAAGTACTCAACTATTACATCCTTCTTTCCGAGCTTCACTCGCTTAAGGCACAATGATCAGCACAAAGAAACTCATCAAAATGGCAAGGAAGTGGCAGAGAATAGCAGCCCTCAAGAGAAAAAAAATTTCACTGCCACGAGAGAGTAAAGGCAGCAACATGCCAGCAGTGGCAGATAAGGGCCATTTTGTTGTATACTCCGCAGATCAAACGCGTTTTGTCTTCCCTATGGCATATCTCAACAATCCTGTTATCAGAGAACTCTTTGAAATGTCGAAGGAAGAGTTTGGGCTACCAAGTGATGGACCAATCACATTGCTGTGTGATGCAGTGTTCATGGAGTATGTCATCTATTTGATTAAAAGAAATGCTGCAAAAGATGTAGAGATAGCGTTGCTTATGTCTATATCTACTGCTCACTGCCCACCTATTTCAAGTTTCCATTTAGAGCAAAGTGGACAACAGTCACTAATTTGTGGCTTTTGAAGGATTTTTTTTCTTGTAGACAGATTATACCTGTAGATTAACAGCTAACATGTGTACCTAATGAGGAATAAAAAATTTTTCTTTGATAAATCTTTTATTTATTATGTTTAAAGAGAGATAGACACTGCTTATTAAAATTCTGAATGAAAAAAATGGCTTGAAATATAAACAGTATATGACAAAAAAATTGATTATCCATGAATATGGAAGAGCAACCATAAGGATATCATATAGAAAACTATGAGGGGATTAGTCCCTAGAAATATACTTCAGGTTCCTGTAGGCCTGCTCATTAATCTGTGGCAACTTCTAAAGCTGGTGTAGAATCTGGGCTCACAAGCTATTTTTATGTTGATTTTACAATCCGGGCCTTGGTTTGCTGGCTATATTTTCATATTTTGGGAGACAAAAAAATATTCATTGCCCATCAACATACTCCTCAATGATCATGCATAACAGGCTGCAGACAATCATTAGAGTAAGTTTTTTCTGCACGTACATAGACCTCCTGGGAGACTGATTTTTCATCTACTAGTCTCTTTCTAGTAAGGGTGGCCATATTAAGCATAACTCTTTTAGCCCATCCTTCAAACATTGTTATTGAATAGTGCAACTGTGATTGCAGCTTACTAAAGTTCTTCTGATTCTTATTATCTTTGCAGAGTTGATTGAAATTTGTGAAGATAGAAATGCTGGTTGTTGAAATATTAAGCCCTTACTGGCAATTAAAAAATTATAAAAAGAAAAGGCTCACATCTTAGCAGATAAACGTCTCTGCATTCATTTTTTGATTAATCCTATCCAGCTGCACAAGTTTCGTATGCATAGGCTAAGCAACTAACTAACAAAATAATTACTCACATTTTCTTTTCTATCTCATTATTTCATTAATTATTTAAACTGTTAATAACATGAAGAAAGTAACTATAGACTAAATTAAAGGACTTGTTAGGGCTTCATATCTTGAAAATTAGATACATAAACAAGAAATAGAGATATGAAATGAGTATGTTGGAAAACTAATTAGGTAAAAGATTTTCATTAAATATGAGTCATTTACAAAATCCTTGCCTTGAGATATTTAGAAACTACAAATTAGTGACTGGTGGCATCTCTGTTCTCGATGCAAAGAGTATGACAGAGGAGCATCTTCCTGTAGCCATTGACATTAGTGGAGCTTTCTCCATGCTTCCATCAACCTGCCATTGAATCAAAGAAATTATATTCTCCATGAAGATTTCATCACAAGGCAATGTGATTGGTCCATCAGTTGATAGGCCAAAATCTCGACATTTTAAAGAGTTATCTAATAATTGGATTGTTGAGATATGCTATAGGAAAGGCAAACCACCTTTCATCAGCGGTATAGAAAACAAATGACCCTTATCTGCCGCTGATGCTGCATTACTAGCATTTTCATTGGCATTTCTTCTGGCTCTTGGTACCAAAATTCTTTTTCTCTTGAGTGCTGCTACATGCTACCACTTTCTTGCCATCTTGATGAGTTTTTTTGTCCCAATCATTGTGTCTAAAGCAAGTGATCTTGGAAAAGGAGGTGACCTACTTCTGTTCAGAGCACTAGATTGTTGGACTTGAGCAGAAAGCAATGAAGTTAAGAGACTTACATATAATTGGAGAAAGTGAAACACTTCATTTCATGTGGGCCATGGATGATAGATTCATGAGGTATACAACATTGTATTCATTGAATCCATAAACACAATACAAACTTTTCAATGTGAAATTGAACTATGTGTTCATGAGGTATAAAACCATGTGGGCAATTGACAATGGATTCTTGAGGTTACATATTCTTTTTCCCTCCTGCTGGCAGCTTAGAAATGTATTAGGCCCCATTAACCTCTCCTAACAGTTGCTTATCTGCAAAATTTATCAGTTATAGATCGATCAATATTTTCAATATAAGATTGGAGTATCAGACAAACTTTTTCCTGACAATTTGAAGAGTTATTTAATGATGGGATTGGTGAGATGTGCTACAGGGATGCAAAAGGCTTTTCATCAGCAGGGTAAATAACAAAATGATCTTAGAGTGTTCTGTTATTTACTATACTAATAATAAACTTAGTCCGTATTTTTTAAAGAACTAGCATGCTGCATACAGTAAATATTTTGTGTTTATAGTTATATATACATATACATATATGCCTGCTGTCTCCTATCAACCAAACTGCAAGTAGAATTGAAAAAAGAGAACTTGATAGTGCTTCATATCATAAACTAATTACTAAGAGATCATTTATCAGATAAATTAGTTTTTCCAAATATGTGTATTTAATAACAATATAAATGTGTAGGTCATTTACAAAATCTTTTCTCTGTTATGTTAATAAACTACAGACTAGTAACTGTTGCCTACTTTGTCCATGATGCTGAGAATGTGAATGCAAGCATCTACTAGCCATCGATATTAAGAGGGCTTTCTCTGTAGTTTTATCAGCACGCCCTTGGATAAAATAAACTATATACTCCATGAAGACTGCATCATAAGACAATGTGATTGGTCCATCACTTGGTAGTCCAAACTCTTCATCTGATATTTTAAAAAGTTCTCTAACAATGGGATTATTGAGATATGCTGTAGGAAATGAAAAACACCTTTCATCACCTGTGTAAACAACAAAGTGGCCCTTATCTGCTACTGACGGTGCATTGTTAATGTTCTGGTTTGCATCTCTACTGGATCTTGGTAAAGAAATCCTTTTCCTTCGGAGGGCTGCTACCCTCTGCCACTTCTTTGCCATCTTGATGAGTTTTTTTGTGTTGATCATTCTCCCTTGAGCAAGTGAACTTGGGAAAAAAAGAGGTTATTTATTTGTGAGTTAAAGTAATGGAATGAAATTGTTGATCTAATGCACAATGGAGTGGAATTGGATGTGTTATATACATCGATACCAGCAAGACATTTCTTTTCATGTGGGTTACACTTGGTAGGATTCATGAGTACATGACCATGTGATTAATAGATATGGAACAGTTTTTCAATAGTCACAGTATTAGACGGATTCATATTTGTAGTTTTCTATCTTGTGGTAGGTTAAGATTTGATGGAGAATCATCTTTCATCTTCACATGGGCCATTGTGGTTATCCATTGATTGGAGACCCATCAATCTTATAGTTGGGAAGCATGAGAATGTGAATCATAACTTGGCAGAGGCTACAACTTGCAGATAACGCATTCAAATTTGAGACTCAATTGGGTGAGCCTTAGGGTTTCTGTTGAGAAAATTAATAGCTATATTAGAGATTTGGACCACAATAACCTTTTTCTTGTCTAATAGTGAAGAAGAATTGGGCACAAACATGCTTAGATTTGCAAAATCTCTCTCACCCAATTCTTTAAAGAATTACAAATTCATAACCCTCAAAGAATATAGTTCTTGCCATGTAATCACGGGATGCTTTGTTTCCATCCTCAAAACTCCGAAACTATCACACATCAGTAATCAGCCTTAGGTCCCAATTGCTATAAGTACTTAATCACATGGCATTGTGCCCATAACTCGTTAACAATGTAACCCCACATTGCAGAAAATGTCTCACTTGCTTTATAGTATATAACTCACCCAACTTCTTGCATTCTGCATCAGATCAACAGTTACATTCAAGTACTCAACTATTACATCCTTCTTTAGCTTCACCTTCTTAAGGCATAATGATTAGCACAAAGAAGCTCATAAAAATGGCAAGGAAGTGGCAGCGAATAGCAGCCCTCAAGAAAAAAAGAATTTCACTGCCAAGAGAGAGTAACGGCAGCAATATGCCACCAGTGGCGGATAAAGGCCACTTTGTTGTATACTTGGCAGATCAAACACGTTTTATCTTCCCTATAACATATCTCAACAATCCTGTCATCAGAGAACTCTTTGAAATTTCTAAGGAAGAGTTTGGGCTACCAAGTGATGGACCAATCACATTGCCATGTGATGCAGTATTCATGGAGTATGTCATCTATTTGATTAAAAGAAATGCAGCAAAAGATGTAGAGACAACGTTTCTTATGTCTATGGCTACTGGTCACTGGCTACCGATTTTAAGTTTCAATGTAGAGCAAAGTAGTCAACAATCATTAATTTGTGGCTTTTGAAATATTTTTTTTTCACTTGTAGACAGATTATACCTGTAGATTAACAGCTAACATGCGTATTCAAATCAGAGATTTTTTTTCCATAAAGCTTTAATTTATTATGTTTGAAGAGATATATATATTAACTATCAAGATTCTGAATGAAGCAAAAGGCTTGAAACCTAAACAGAATATAAAGAAAAGATTGTATCCATGAATATAGAAGAGCAACCATCAGGATATCATATACAAAATTATGAGGGGATTAGTCCCTAGAAATGTACTTTGGGTTCCTGTGGGCCTGCTCACTGATATGTTCTTTATGAATGATCAACACAAAGAATTAGAGATCTGAAATGAGTATGGAGGAGAACTAATTAGGTAAAATATTTTCATTAAATTTGTCAATCATCTACAAAATTCTTGCTTTGAGATATTTAGAAATTATAGATTAGTGATTGGTGGCATCTCTGTTCTTGATGCATGAGAGCATGAAGAGGAGTATCTGCCTGTAGCCATTGACATTAGTAGAGCTTGCTCCATACTTCTATTAACCCGCTGTCGACTCAAAGAAACTACATGAGTTCCATGGCGATTGTATCACAAGGCAATGTGATTGGTCAATTGGTAGGCCGAACTCATCATCTGACATTTTAAAGAGTTCTCTGATAATAGGATTGTTGAGATATGCTATAGGAAAGGTGAAACACCTTTCATCGGCGGTGTAGACAACAAATGACCCTTACCTGCCACTGATTATGTGTTGCTAGCATTTTCATTCGCATGTCTTCTGGCTGCTGATAGTGAAATTCTTTTTCTCTTGAGTGCTGCAACATGCTGCCACTTTCTTGTCATCATTATGTGTTTATTTATCCCAATCGTTGTGTCTAAAGCAAATGAACTTGGAAAAGGAGGTGATTTACTTCTTTTCCAATACTGGAATGTGATTGTTGGACTTGAGCAGAAAGCAATAAAGTTAGGAGACTCGTGTATGATCGAAGAGAGTGAGACATTTCATTTCATGTGGGCCATTGACACTAGATTCATGAGGTATACAACTATGTGTTTAATAAATCGACAAACATAACCCTTTATTATTTTTCCCTCTTGCTGGCAGCTTAGAAATGTATTAGGCCCCATTAACCTATCCTAACAATGGCTTATCTGCAAAATTTATCATTAGATGGATCAGTATTTTCAATATGAGATTGGAGTAGCAGATAAACTTTTCATCCAATAATTTCAAGAGTTGTTTAATGATGGGTTAGTGAGATAAGCTACAGGGATGCAAAGCGCTTTTCATCAGCAGGGTAAACAAAAAAATGGCCTTAATCCGCTACTGATGCTGCATTGTTATTGTTCTGTTATTTACTATGCTAGTGATTAAAATTAGTCAGTGTTTTATAAAGAACTAGTATCCTGCATACAGTAAATATTATGTATTTAGAGTTATATATACGTACACATATATGCATGCTGTCTCCTATTAACCAAACTGCAAGTAGAGTTGAAAAAAGAGAACTTGATAGTGGAACTAAGTACTAAGAGATCATTTATAAGATAAGTTAGCTTTTTCATTATATTTATTGAATAAAAATATAAGTGTGTAGGTCATTTACAAAATTTTTTCTCTGTTATGATTATAAACTACAGATTAGTAACTGTTGCCTACTCTGTCCGTGATGCAGAGAATATGAACGCAAGCATCTACTACTAGCCATCGACATTAAGAGGGCTTTCTCCGTAGTCTTATCAGCATGTCGTTGGATAAAAGAAACTATATACTCTATGAAAAATGCATCACAAGGCAATGTGATTGGTCCATCACTTAGTAGTCCAAACTCTTCCTCTGACATTTTAAAGAGTTTTCTAACAATGGTATTGTTGAGATATGCTATAGGAAATGAAAAACGTCTTTCATCTGCGCTGTAAACAACAAAGTGACCCTTATCTGCTACTGACAGTGCATTGTTAGCGTTCTGGTTTGATTCTCTACTAGATTTTGGTAAAGAAATCCTTTTCCTTCGGAGGGCTGCCACCCTCTGCCACTTCTTTGCCATCTTGATGAGTTTTTTTGTGTTGATCATTCTGTCTTGAGCAAGAGAACTTGGGAAACAAAGAGGTTATTTATTTGTAAGTTGAAGTAATGGAATGAAATTGTTGATCTAATGCACAATGTAGTGGCATTGGATGTGTTATATACTTCAAGACCAACAAGACATTTCTTTTCATGTGGGTTACACTTTGGTGGGATTCATGAGTACATGACCATGTGATTACTGGACATGGACAACTTTTTTGATAGTCACAGTTTTAGATGGATTCATATTTGAGGTTTTGTATCTCGTGGTAGATAAAAATTTGATGGAAAATCATCTTTCATCTTCACATGGGCCTATGTGGTTATCTATTGACTGGGGACCCATCAATCTGACAGTTGGGAAGCATGAGAATGTGAATCAGAACCTGGAAGAGGCTATAGCTTGCAGATAATACATTCAAATTTGAGACTCAATTGGGTGAGTTTTATGGTTTCTGTTGAGAAAATTAATAGCTATATTACAGATCTGGCCCACAATAATCTTTTTCTTGTCTGCTAGTTGGTGAAGAAGCTTTTTGGGACCAAGATGCTAGGTCTTGCACATGCTTAGATTTAGAAAATCTCTCTCATCCAATTCTTTGAAGCATTACAGATTTATAACTCTCAAAGTAGATAGTTCTTGTCATTTGATCATGCTTTGCTTTTGTCTTCAAAACTGAGGAAGTATCATACACAACTAATCAGCCTTGGGTCCCAATTGCTATAAGTACCTAATCACATGGCTTTATATCCATAGCTCCTTTACATTCCAATCCACATTGCAGATAATGTCTCCTTGCTTTATGGCGCTTTATGATATATAACTCATTCAACTTCTTGTATTTTGCATCAGTCAACAATTACATTCAAGTACTCAATTATTACATCCGTCTTTCCAAGCTTCACTCGCTTAAGATACAATGATCAGCACAAAGAAACTCATAATAATGGCAAGGAAGTGGCAGAGAATAGCATCTTTCAAGAGAAAAAGAATTTCACTACCAAGAGGGAGTAAAGGCAGCAATATGCCACCGGTGGTAGATAAAGGCCATTTTGTTGTATACTCAGCACAGATCAAACACGTTTTGTCTTTCCTATGGCGTATCTCAACAATCCTGTCATTAGAGAACTTTTTGAAATGTTGAAGGAAGAGTTTGGCTACCAAGTGGACCAATCACATTGTCATGTGATGCAGTCTTCATGGAGTATGTCATCTATTTGATTAAAAGAAATGCAGCAGAAGATGTAGAGACAGTGTTGCTTATGTCTATGCCTACTGGTAACTGCCTACCGATTTCAAGTTTCCATGTAGAGCAAAGCAGACAACAGTCACTAATTTGTGGCTTTTGAAGGATTTTTCGTTCCTTGTAGAAACTATACCTGTAGACTAACCGCCAACATGTATACTTAATGAGGAATCAAAGAATTTTCCTTCATAAAACTTTAATTTATTATATTTGAAAAGAGAGAGACACTCCTATCAAGATTCTGAATGAAAAAAAATGCTTGAAATCTAAACAGAATATGAAGAAAAAATTGATTATCCATGGATATAGAAGAGCAACATCAGGATATCATATATAAAATTACGAGGGGATTAGTCAATAGAAATATACCTTAAGGTTCCTTTAGGCCTGCTTATTGATCTGTAACAACTACTAAAGCTGGTGTAGAATCTGTGTTAACAATCTATTGTTGTAGTGATTTTACAACCTTAATATATTATTGAAGTAAAAAGATAATAAAATGGAGTCTGTACCAAAATGTTTTAGGTGATTACAGCTAGGTAACACCATGTGCAATTTTCTGTGCATGATTCAATTTAGGCACTATCCAATTTTTTTTTCCCTCAAGTTATGATTCATTTAACATGACAAGTCAGTATTAAAGACAGCAATGAAATGTGAATTAAGAACCGCAAAGATGCATGATACTGGGGCAGCCTGCTGTTAGTGTTGGCTCATGGAACTGAAACATGTGATGTTGAAGGACATGTGGAAATTCCTTCTCGAGTATTGGTCTTTGTAATTATCACCAAGAGGTAGGCATTATACTTCATGACAACATGGATTTCTAATTTATTCTAGCCCAATGAATTTTCGTGACAGAATGAAATCTTTGTATAAAGACTGGCTTGAAAAATTATGAGGTACTAGATAAGATAAGTGACTTATCTCCCCCAATAAATTAATCTTGTTAGACAAAAGAATATGAATCATTTCGAAATTCCAGGATACATTTTAGCATTCTACAAGACAAGCTAACATCAGAAGCAATGATGAAAGAATAATTGGAAACTTCGAAAGAATATAAAGATAAAAAGTTGATAATCCATTAAGTTTACTAAAGAAAAACTATCAGTGTATAATAGACAAATTTTTAGTTTAAATTTCGGAATTAATACATGAGTAACTGCTGCTACACTGTTCTTGATGCAGAAAACATGACACTGCACATCTATTGCCAGCAATTGATATTAGCAGTGCTTTCTCCAAATTTCTATCAAGACGTGTTTGAATGAAAGAAACTACATACTCCATGAAGACTCCATTGCAAGGCAATTTGATTGGTCCTTCGCTTGGGAGACCAAATTCTTCCTCAGACATCTTGAAGAGTTCTCTAATTATGGGATTGTTGAGAGATGCTATTGGGAAAACAAAATGCCTTTCATCAGCCGTGTAAACAATGATATGTCACTTATCTGCCACAGATGTTGCATTGCTAGTGTCTTGTTGTGCGCCTTTACTGGCTCTTGGGAGTGAAATTCTTTTTCTCTTGAGGGCTGCTACTCTCTGCCACTTCTTGGCCATCTTGATTAATTTCTTTGTGCTGATCATTGTTTTTAAAGCTAAGTGAGCCTAGAAAAGAAATAAGTGAAATTCTTCTTTTTGAATAATGGAATATGACCGTTAATTTGATGCAGAATGCAACAGTGCTGGATGAGTTATATACCACTAGACCATTGAAATAGTTATTTTCATGTGGGGTGACCTTCTGAGGGGTTAACGGGTACACAGCCATGTGATATGTGATTATGGGACATGGACAGTTTTCTGATAGGTCATATAATATTGGATAGGTTTACATTTTTGGCTGTGCATCCATGAGCTCCTCCTCCCACATGGACCACTATGTTTAGATACTGAGAGGATATTCTTCAATGGTGCAATGTTTGGCTAGTTGGACAATCAATGAGGATATTGTAGAACACAAACCTGGAATTAATGGCCACCTGCAGGAGGTTTAAGAATGCATTAGGGCCCAAAAACTTATCAAAATCCTCTTGTATTTGTAAAAGAATTTAGATACAAATGGATCAATGATGTAGAAAAACGTGTCAGCCATATTCTATAACAAGACATACTCAGAATTCTTTAGCTTGCTACCCACCACCTAAACACGAGTTAGAACCCTGTAACATAAATGAATCATAACGTTCTTTAGCCATAATTGCACTCTTGATAATTGAATGGGCGATAGAGGCCAGGAGAATTTAGACCTTTTCATATCTGTTTAGAAATTATAGCTACACTAAAGAAAGCATTGGTTTTAGCCACATAAGTTTCTTTTTTCTTTGATATTACTGCTGAACATGTTGGGACCAAGATGCTATGTCTTGCACGTGCCTAGATCTGCCAAATCTTTCTCACTCATTTTTGACAAGTTGAATTTTCTAAGATCTTGAAACAGTTAAATATTTATAGAAATGAAAGAATATAATATGATATGTTTTCTATAAAAGGAAGATTAGTGATACAGTATATGCACCCAATCGTCTGTGCTTTTGTTTTGTGGTCCTTAGGAACATATGTCACATGTTATTGTATACATGAATCCCCTCAAAGTGTAACCCATATGAAAAAAAGTGTCTATGGTCTTTTGCTATATAACTCATCTAATCCAATTGCACTCTGCATCAGTCAGTAATCCCAATTTTCCAGTTCTCTAGAAAGAAGTTATCCATGTCTTTCTTTTTCAGATTTATCTTCTCAAGACAAAATGATCAGCTCAGAGAAACTCATCAAGATGGCAAAGAAGTGGCAACGCCTAGCAGCCCTCAAGAGGAAAAGAATTTCACTGCCTGGAGCCAGTGGAAGAGCAGATCAAGACACATCTTCGGTGGCAGATAAAGGCCACTTTATTGTTTATACAGCAGATGAAAGGCGCTTTGCCTTCCCTATTACATATCTCAGCAGTCCACTTATCATCCAACTTTTTGAAATGTCAGAAGAAGAGTTTGGCCTCCCAAGTGATGGACCGATTAGAGTACCTTGTGATGCAGTCTTCATGGAGTATGTCATCTCTTCGATAAAGAGGAATCCAGCAAAAGATATTCAGACTGCCTTGCTTATGTCCAAGGCTGCTGGTGGCTGCTTACCAACTTCATGTCTGCATCAAGAACAATCTAACCATCAGTCACTAATTTGTGGCTTTTGAAGAAACCCTTTGTGGACAGATTATATTGCTGTAGATTGATAATAATTGATTAACAAATTTTAATTCAAAGTGAAGAACCCCAAGTATTCCTAATTAATTCTTTACTTTTATTTATTGTCTCCAGAGAAATTGTGGCCATAAGCATCTAAGAAAGACTTTTCCCGAAAATAACTTCAAAACTTGCCTACTACAGTTCTTCTCTTTGATATAATCATCATGGTAAATATAGTTTACATATTAACATCTTACAAGAATTTTCTGATGTCTAGGACGCATGTAACTTTGACCAAACAAATCTCTAAGTCCTCAAACTCAAGTTCAGATTGTTGCAGTGAGTTCATCAATTGCATATATTTCTAATATAGGACATGGTTACCACAAAGCATCTCTCTTCCATCTTTAATGTACTCATCAGGACCAAAAATCAAAGTGGCACATTATAATCAAACACTTATAAAGTCAAAGATTGAGTTAGTGTAAAAGCATTCGGCAAGCATGTATTTTGAGATCATACCACAAATCATAATTAATAGTCATAAAACTGGTATCTGCTTTTATATCACTGAATTGTAATGCCCCGAACCCAACTGGGTAATGTTACAACGCCCCATCTTTATAGAAATATGTTTCAAATAATAAATAAATTCTTCAAAATACAATTACACATGTTCTATCATCTCTCTCTTCTTAAACTCTGCTTTCTTAGTCCTTCTTGGAGCTCCATTAACTTAATTGCTAGAACTACCTTGCACATGTCACATTGAATTGCAACATGTCACATGAGATGGACTGGGGAAATTGCAACATGTCACATGATCCTTGTAACTAACATCAAGAGGTATTTTTTATTTTTTCTTGAAAACTTTTTAGTGACACAACTAAGCTTGCTAAATAAGGGGATAACAATGATCTCAGTATCTAGTATTGTACAATAGAATTCAACATCACAGTGGAGTTTTAAAGAGATTATTAGCAATGGCAACACAGTAAGAAGATGAAGTTGGTTATCCATTAATGTATTAATCAAAGAACAACTATCAGTATGTCATATACAAAATTGTTTGCATTCAACTTCGGAAATTAACAGAGAAGTAACAACTGACTACACTGTCCTTGATGCAAAGAATATGACATGATGCATTTATTAGTAGCAATCAACACCAAGTGCTTTCTCCAAATTTCCCATCAACATGTCTTTCAACCAAAGAAACTATATACTCCATGAAGACTGCATCACAAGACAGTGTGATTGGCTCATCACTTGATAGAACAAATTCGTCCTCAAATATTTTGAAGAGTTCTCTAATGTGGGGATTGTTGAGATATGCCATAATGAAGGCACACCACAGTAGAATATGATTGTATGATTCTACATCACTCTTCCACAGGAAACAACCATTAACTAATATTCTTTCCTTCCTAATATCAACTTGTCTGGAATTAAAATACACTCTCTAATTGCCTCCCTAACAAAAAAAGCCATTCTAGGTGAAGCTTTAACCTGTCAAATCTGTTTTGGTGGTATCTCTATACAAGATTCATCTTTCTTAGTCAAATGAAATTAGAAATACTTCATATAGAAAATTCTTCTAGAGTTAACCTCCAAATAGGATGATCCTTGGCCCATTGGGAATACATGTAGATAGAGTTCGGAGAAAAGATTCATACTCATTAATTTTCCAATCGTGAAGGTTCCTTGAAAGCTCTACAATCCATGAGCCATTCTCGACGATCCATGGAAAGACTCCTGGATGCGACCTTCTCATGGCTGAGCCATAACAAATATCCAGGATAAACTAAAGCTTGAGGCTGTATAATGCTTTATGTAATTTGCACATGTAATATGGATTATTAGGATCTTCAAAGCCATTTAGCTGGCACATATAGACATCTTCCTTTAGGTAGCCATCATAGAATGCACCTTTGACACCAAGTTCATAAATGAGGCACCCAATAGAGACAGCAGGAGAAAATTATCTGAATGTAGACTGGCTAGACCACCAGTCTGTAAATTTCATCAAAATTGACTCCTTCCGGTGCTTGAAACCTTGTGTCACCAACTGTGCTTTAAGATGTTCAAGAATGCAAGCAGATTTTGTTTAACCTGGTACACCCATTTAGAACCGAAACATTAATTCTAGGAAGAGGACCTAAGGACCAGGTGTTGTTTTCCAGGAGGGTGTTTATACTCAGCTATCATTGCATGCTTCCAAGCAGAATGTTTGTTGGATTCTGTGGAAGGGTGGGGATAAAGATGAGGATGATAACTCACTAGGATAGTGCAAGATGACAGCAATTATACTCGGGTTCAAGGCTAATTTGCGTAATTTTAATACTCGATATGTGTGATTGCCTTATTCATAAAACAAAAAAAAGAAAACACTTGATAATTAGCAATTACATACTATGTTCACGGATCGGAGTCTCAAAATACAAAAATAGTAATACATGAATATACTCTTTGAACACAATATGCAGACCCAGGGATTGTTTGATCTTCTTGTTGTTGTTGTTTTTTTTTTCTTTTTTTCTGTGCAATATAATGTCATTCCTTAGTTAAGGTTCAAGTCCTTGGGGATAAACCCCATCTCAAACAATGCATGCATATGCGTACGTTTTCAAAGAGTACACCCATTTTTTATATCTCTATCAATCGAGTAACCCAATAATTTAGACCTTCATACACATATTCATACAAGCATTATGATCTGAAAGGAAGAATTCCAAAGATACCATATACTCAGTCAAGAAAAATTCTAAAATATAATGAGTTGCAAAGAAATGATAAGGGAGAAGTTTGGGGGAAATGACAATGAGCAGTTATCCTACCTCAGTGCAGACAATATATCTAGCTCATTCATGATCGAAAAGAAAAATTAGGCATGTATATTTACCTGCAGCTCATAGCAAGTAAGCCATCTATTTTCAAAACAAGATCAAATGATTGATGAATAAAAAAATTATGCTTGAAAGCTGTCATAGTGGATACAGAATGTGTTCATCACTAGGAACAGTTAATTTAAAGTTCATTAGCATTTCAGACACTCTTTCACAGTATTCATGCAAAGAAACATTACTGAAAGGAACGACTATGGAAAACTAATCTTAAGTAACATAACGTTCCTTAAACATAGTGGTCCACATATGTTTAAAAATCTCGTTTCCATGGTGCTCACCAGAAAAAAAAAAAAGAAAAATCGTTTCATGGTGACAAGTATCTTCCTTCTCTTTCAATTTACCCGTCATAATCTTCGTTATTAGGGCATTTTGCTTACAAGAAGCACAATTCAGATCAATTTCCAAACAAAACAAATTTATACTCATTACCGGTTATAAATCATGAAGACAAAGTGAATAGAATTTACCTCCTATGAGCTTCGCAACGCTGATATCCCTTGTTTCTGTTTTTGTTTTCTTTTTCCTCCACCATCTCTCACCCTTGTTGGCCATGCTTTTCCTTCTTCTCCGCCCCCACACCTCTCATCTCTCTCTTTTTCTTTTTTTTTTTCTTTTTTTTTCTTTCTTTTTTAAAAAAGGACCTTTAGGAATTTGTGAGAAGCAAAAAACTTGTTACATAAGAACGGTTGGTAAAAAAATGCCTTCACCCAAATTCCTTTTACAAGCGATCATGATCCATTTAAGACGTAGTCATTGACTCCTTGTCAAAGACTGCAAAGAAATGTGAACTCACTCGAAAGAAGAACGCTACTGGAGCCGCCAGCTGATAGTGTTAGATATATGAAATTGCAAAATATCACACGGGATGAGCTGGAAAATTAGTTCTTGTAGTTGATATTTATATGGGGTAGTTTTTCTTTTTTGATGTACAGCACCAAAGTTTCAACTTTTTACATGACCTTTAGATAAAGTTTAGCTTAAAAAACTATGAAATCTTCTAACCAATAGATGAAGTTGATTTATTTATTAAATATATTAATTAAAGTACATGTATTGGTATTATCATATACAAAATTGTTTTGTGTATAAATTTAGAAACTAACAGACAAGTAACTGCTGTCTACTGTGTCCTTGATGCAGAGAATCTAACAAGGCACATTTGTTACTAGCAATTGACACTAGCATTGTTGACACTAGCATTGCTTTCTCAGAATTTCTATCAACATGTTGAATCAAAGAAACTACGTGCTCCATGAGGGCTGCATCACAAGGCAATGTTATTGGTCCATCGCTTGGTAGACCAAACTCTTCCTCAGACATCTTGAAGAGTTTTCTAATAATGGGATTGTTTAGATATGCTATAGGGAAGACAAAACGCTGGTTGTCAACTGTGTAAACAACAAAATGGCCTTTATCTGCCAGTGGCTTTGCGTTTTTAGCAGTTTGGTTCACATCTCCACTTGCTCTTGGCAGTGAAATTCTTTTCCTCTTGAGGGCTGCTACTCGCTGCCACTTCCTCGCCATCTTGATGAGCTTTTGTGTGCTGATCATTTTTCTCTAAAGCAACTCACCTGGAAAAGAAAATGGTGAATTTCTTGTTTGTTGAGTTATGAAATGTGATGGTTGATCTGATGCAGAATGCAAGGGAGTTAGATGAGTTATATATCAGCACACCATTGAGACAGTTATTTGCATGTGGGTTACCCTTTGAGAGGTTTATGGAAACACAGCCATGTGATTATTTGATATGTACCATTTCTTGATAGGTCCTTATGTTGGATAATTTTACATTTGTATTGTGCATCCTTGAATTCCCTCATCCCACATGGACCAATATGTTTAAATACTAAGATAGTAAAGATCCTTCATCCCACATGTATATTTTACTGGTGGATTGTTTGGCTGTTAGGAAATTACAAAAGATGTTAAAGATGACCCAAAGCCCAGAAATTATGCTTTCCTGCAGGTGGTCTAACAATATATTAGGTCCCAACAACTTATCTTAAAAGTCCTCTATCTGTAAAAGAATTCAGATAAACATAGATCTGTTATATTGAAAAACATATCACTCATGATATATGACAAGAAAATTAAGATGAAACTAAAACTGGTAATATTAGTGATGGTATTTCTAATAATCAAATGGGAGCTAACTGGGTCTGTGTGTGGCCATCAAGTTTCTGGGACCTTGCTATGATATTGCATTCCAAGTGGAGAATCAGGTGGGTGAGCCTTTGTTTTCTGTTGAGAAATATCTAGAAAAGGCTTGCTTTGAGCCACAGATAATTTTCTTTTTGTTTGCTAGTTAATGCAGAACATGTGCTGACCAAGAAGCTATGTTCTGCACATGCCTAGATCTCCCAAATCTTTCTCATCCTCTTTGTCTAAACAGCACCTTCTTGAAACAGTTATGGATTTGCATCATTTAAAGAAGATAAATTCTTGACATATATGTATATGTGTATACATATATCACCTAAGCTTTTGTTCCTGTGGTCCTCAAAACTTTGGGAGATTATTTTTTATTGGTTGCTTGCTTGGGGACCCTCCAATGCATAACTACTCACATGCCTGTGTGTGCATGAACTTCAAAGTGAGACCACATGAAAAGATGTGTCTCACCGATCTTGCCTTATATAATTCATTTCATGTCATTCCTCGTCAGATAAAAAATCAGATTGTACTACTCAACAACGAAGTTATTTTCACAAATTTCTTTTTTCCAAGTTCACTGGCTTAAGGTAAAATGATCAGCACAAAGAAACTCGTCAAGATAGTAAGGAAATGGCAGCATAGCAGCCCCAAAAGGAAAAATATTTCATTGCCAAGAGCCAGCATAGATGCAAAATAAAACACTAGTAATGTACACACAGTAGCAGATAAAGGTCATTTTGTTATTTACACTGCTGATGAAAGGCTATTTTTTTTTCCTTATAGAAGCATATCTCAGCAACCCAATCATTAGAGAACTCTTCAAAATGCCAGAGGAGGAGCTTGGCCTACCCGATGATGGACCAATTAGTTTGCCTTGTGATGCAGTTTTCATGGAGAATGTCATCTCTTTGACTAAAAGGCATTCAAAACATGATGTTGAGATCGCATTGGTCATGTCCATGTCTACTGGTTGCTGCTTACCAGTTCCAAGTCTGCATCCAGAGCAAAGTAACCAACAGTCACTATCTTGTGGCTTTTGAAGATGATTTTTCTAAACAGGTTAGAGTGCTTTACATTGATAGTTAATAAATTAATCCAACGAAGAATCTGTGAGTTTCTTCCCAATTAGCTGGTTGCTTTTTTTATTATCTTTAAAGAGGGAGTAAAAAAATTGCTTATTATGTCCATGGCTACTCGTTGCTGCTTACCAATTTCAAGTCTATACAGAGAGCAATACAACCAGCATTCATAGTTTGTGGCTTTTGAAGGATTTTCATTCTTGTAGAAAGGCTATACTGCTGAACGGATTATAGTAATTCAACGAAGAAGTTCAGAGTATATTCCGTAACTGGATACTCTTCTTTACCATCTTTGAAGATAGAACTTCCGAATCATCATCACACCTAATAAAGTTTCACAATGTAAATCACCACTTCAAAAATATATATCTATAATTAGCACCCGTGAAAGTTGTTCCATTTGATAGAAAACCATGGGTTACATATAATTCACAAACTAAGAACCTAGTCAAGGAATTTTCTACTGATTTTGGTAATCTGTCCCTAGATAGCAGAAAATCATTTAATTTCTTTTACTTGCAAGATATATATGTTTGGTTTAAGCCTATTCTATTTTGCAAGATATGTATGTTTGGTTAAAGTCCCTAGGTAGCAGAAGATCTTAGTTATTTAATATATAGAATTTAGTTATAATTATCAGAGTTAATGAGTAATTCAACCAATTCTATTTACATCTCTAATGATATAATAAAAGATCTATATTCTCAATTGTTGGAGAAGAGGTCACAAAAGTATGCAAATTTTTCTTTTAGTAAATTCATACATTTATTAATCAAGTGATACACAAACGTCATAAGAGTACCTAACTTTTTTTTTGAGTAAATTCATACATTTACTAATAAAATGATATATAAATACTAATCACAACCCAAAAGAACTAATCTCCAGACAAGAACACATAGGAGAATGCATCTCGATTTGAACTCACGATCTTTTTTAGAGAAAGAAACGTACTAACGGTTCAGTTAAGTAGTGGTTAGTATAAAAGCATTTAACTTGAATTAAAAATAAAATTAATTTAAAATTAGAACATCATTTTCATTTAATCTCCAATATATTTGTATTATACTCTATTATTATATTTCAATAGAATTTAAATTTGAACTATGCACAACTTAAATATATTTTCGAAGTAAAAAAACAATAAAATGGAATCTGTACCAAAAATTTTTAGGTGATTACAGCTAGGTAACACCAAGTGCGATTCTCTGTGCATGATTCAATTTAGAAACTGTCCAGTTTCTTTTTTTTTCCTCTAGTTATTATTCATTTAAAATGGCAAGTCATTGTCAAAGACAACAATGAAATGAGGCTTAAGCACTGCAAAGATGCATGATACTGGGGCAACCTGCTGATAACGTTGGCTCATAGAACTGAAACATGTCACGTTGAAGGACATGTGAAAATTACTTCTTGAATATCGGTCTTTGTAATTATCACCAAGTTGGTAGGCTTTCTACTTCATGAACAAAATGGATTTCTAACTATTCTAACTGAGTGAATTTGTGAGACAAAATAAAATCTTTGTATGAAAGACTCACTTGAAAAATTATGAGCTACTTGATAAGATAAGTGACTTATATCCCCTATAAATTATTCCTCTTCGATAAGAGAAAATGAATCATTTGAAAATTTCAGGGTAAATTTTAGCATTCTACAATAAAAGCTAACATCAGAAGGAATTATGAAAGAATAATTAGGAACTTCGAAAGAATATGAAGACAAAAAGTTGATAATCCATTAAGTTTACTAAAGAAAACTATTAGTGTGTTATATACAAATTTTTGGGAACTAACAGATGAGTAACTGCTGGCTACTCTGTTCTTGATGCAGAAAACATGAGACTGCACATCTATTACTAGCAATATACACTAGAAGTGCTTTCTCTAAATTTCTATTAAGACGTTTTTGAATCAAAGAAACTATATACTCCATGAAAACTCCATCACAAGGCAATATGATTGGTCCTTCGCTTGGGAGACCAAATTCCTCCTTAGACATCTTGAAGAGTTCTCTAATTATGGGATTGTTGAGAAACGCTATTGGAAAAACAAAACGCCTTTCATCAGCTGTGTAAACAACAATATGTCCCTTATCTGCCAGAGATGGTGCCTTGCTACTGTCTTGTTTTGCGCCTTTACTGGTTCTTGGGAGCGAAATTCTTTTCCTCTTGAGGGCGGCTACTCTATGCCACTTCTTGGCCATTTTGATTAGTTTCTTTATGCTGATCATTCTTTCGAAAGCAAGTGAGCTTAGAAAAGAAATAGGTGAAATTCTTCTTTTTTGAATAATGGAATATGATTGTTAATTTGATGCAGAATGCAACGGTGCTGGATGAGTTATATACCACTAGACCATTGAAATAGTTTTTTTCATGTGGGGTGACCTTTTAAGGGGTTAATGGGAACACAGCCATATGATATGTGATTATAGGACATGGACAATTTTGTGAGAGGTCATATAACATTGGATAGATTTACATTTGTGGCTGTGCATCCATGAGTTCCTCACCCCACATGGACCACTATGTTTAGATATTGAGAGGATATGATTCAATGGTGCAATGTTTGGCTAGTTGTAAAATCAATGAGGATATTGTAGAAGAGCACAAACCTGGAATTAATGGCCTCCTGCAGGAGGTTTAGCAATGCATTAGGGCCCTGGAAACTAATCAAAATCTTCTGCTATCTGTAAAATAATTCAGATACAGATGGATCAATTATGTAGAAAAATAGGCCAACCATATTGTATAACAAGACATAGTCAGACTTCTTTAGCTTGCTACCCACCACCTATACATGAGTCAGAACCCTTTAAGACAAATGAATCATAATGTTCTTTAACCATAATCGCACTCTTGATAATTGAATGGGAGATAGAGGCTACAAGAATTTTAGACCTAGTGATATCTGTTTAGAAATTATAGCTACATTAAGGAAAGCATTGGTTTTAGCCACATAAATTTCTTTTTCTTAGCTAGTTACTGCTGAACATGTTGGGACCAAGATGCTATGTCTTGCACATGCCTAGATCTGCCAAATCTTTTTCACTCATTTTTGACATGTTGAATCTTCTAAGATATTGAAACAGTTATATAATATGGTATATTTTATATAAAAGGAAGATAAGTGGTATATTATGCGTATCCAATCATCTGTGCCTTTGTTTTGTGGTCCTTAGAAACAGTGGTAAAAACATATGCCACATGGTTTTGTATACATGATTCCCCTCAAAGTGTAACCCACATGAAAAGAAGTGTCTCACTGGGCTTGTGTTATATAACTCATCCAATCCCATTGCATTCCGCATCAGTCAGTAATCCCAATTTTCCAGTACTCTAGAAAGAAGTTATCCACCTCTTTCTTTTTCAGGTTCATTTTCTCAAGACAAAATGATCAGCTCAAAGAAACTCATCAAGATGGCGAAGAAGTGGCAGCACCTAGCAGCCCTTAAGAGGAAAAGAATTTCACTGCCAGGAGCCAGCAGAAGAGCAGATCAAGGCACACCATCATTGGCAGATAAGGGCCACTTTATTGTCTATACAGTAGATGAAAGGCGCTTTGCCTTCCCGGTCACATATCTCAACAATCCGCTTATCATCCGTCTCTTTGAAATGTCAAAGGAAGAGTTTGGCCTCACATGTGATGGACCGATTAGATTACCTTGTGATGCAGTCTTCATGGAGTATGTAATCTCTTTGATAAAGAGAAATGCAACAAAAGATATTGAGACTGCACTGCTTATGTCCATGACTGCTGCTCACTGCTTACCAATTTCACATCTGCATCATGAGCCGAGCAACTGTCAGTCACTAATTTGTGGCTTTTGAAGAATCTTTTTGTTGACAGATTATACTGCTGTAGATTGATACTAATTGATTAACCAATTCTAATTCAAAGTGAAGAATCCCAGTTTTCTTCATTAATTCTTTGCTTTTATTTATTGTCTGAAGAGAAATTGTGGCCATAAGCATCTAATAAAACGGTTATGTGAAAAATAATTTCAAATTTATTACCTACTAAAGTTCTTTTCTTTGAACTAATGATCATGTTAAAAATAGTTTACGTATTAACATCTCACAAGAATTTCTTGATGTCTAGGACACAAGTAACAGTGACCAAACAAATGTTTAGGTCCTCAAACTCGAGTTCAGATTATTGCACTGTGTCCATTAATTCCATATATTCCTAATATAAGACATGGATGCCACAAACATCTCTAGTCTGATCTTTAATATACTCATAAGGACCAAAAATCATAATTGCAAATTATAATCAAACACTTATAAAGTTGAAGACTGTGCTAGTGTGAAAACATTCAGCTAGCATGTATTTTGAGATCATATCATAAATCACAATTAAAGGTCATAAACCTGACACGTGCTTCGATACTGCTAAATTGTAATGCCCCGAACCCAACTGGATAATGTTACAACACTTTGTTTCAAATAATAAATAAATTCTTCAAAATAAAATTACACTTGTTCTCTTATCTCTCCCTTCTTAAACTCTGTTTTCTTAGTCCTTCTTGGAGCTCCACTAACTCGATTGCTGAATTACCTTGAATTTGTTTACTTTTACTTCTACCTCCACCTTATACAGTTTCTAAAATAGTAAAAATCTGATGGAGAAAATGGAACAAAAGTGTGGCACACGTGGAGAATTTTATTAAAGCTAAAAATCATACTCTCTGGCTGTCTAACAGAGGCGAAATTATTTTCTTCTAATGCTCATGAAATCCACACATTGGAAAATTATGGCATCTTTTTACTTGGCAGGACAGTATCCTCCGTAAATATTAAATAATCCGGGAAACACAAGACGTCCAGAAATTTCTGAGAGAAGTAAAAAAAGTTGAGACAAGAAAGGCTGGCATAACAGTGTCTATCCACAAATTTTCTGTTTATACAGTCAAGGTATTCATTTCATTCTCAATGACTATAATGACCTATGAACTTATTTGAAAGAAGCACACAAGCTACTGAGGCAGCCTGTTGATAATGTTAGGTACATAGAATTGCAACATGTCAAATGGGATGAAATGGGGAAATCAATTCTTGTAATTGGTCTTTGTACCTAACATCAAGAGGTGGTGAGCAGGTGGATGGGTGGCGGCGGCTAATGTTTGCACTATATGAAGTGGCCAGAAAGACGTGGAAAACAATGAGAGAGGAAAGGAAACGGGAGATGGCAGCGTCGAAGCAGGCAAGGAAGGTTTTGGAGGGCAGTGAAATGGAGCCGACACCGCTGTGTTGTCCGATCTGCAGATTGGAATTACGGGCAGAAACATAGTTTTGCAGAAGTGGGCAATAGGCTTTTTCTCCTTTCGCTTTCATGGTAGCAAGTAGATACATCAATTACAAGAAGTAAAGCCATAGCTTGATTGGTTTTGTAAATGAAAATTGAAATATCTATCTTGCTGCTTTGAATGCGAAAGGAGAAAAAGAAAGGAAGCGAATTTATGTTACCACATCTAGAAATCTGCTTGAGGCCATAGAAAGCTTCTTTCTTTTTTTTTTTTTAAAGAAAAATTTCATCTATTTACAAATGTGAGGGGATCCATACTTGTATATAAAATATTTACATGTCAAGTAAAATATCTATCAAATCCCCTAAATCATTATAAGAAAAAAGAAAATGACCCAGAATTCAAAAATCTAAGGTCCAAAATCATGTATTCTCGAATTTATTAAAATTAACCTCTGTACTCTCAAAAGTTCTCTTATTTCTATGCTTCCAAATTACCCAAAATGTGGCCAAATGAATAAAATTTGAAGAACTCTTATCTTTGATGAAATTTCCTTTTGTTCCTAAATCGCATCCCTTATAGAACCAGCCATCACCCAATTAATTCCTTGGAGGCTGAAGGCTCAACCAGTATGCAAACGCACACCATTTTCACCAGTATTCTTTCCCTCCTGAAATCAACTTGTCTGGAATTAGAATATACTCTCCAACTGCCTCTTAAACGAAAAAAAGGCACACAGCAAAATTTTAATCTTCTAAATATGCCTTGATGGTATCTCTATACAGCTTTCGTCTTTCATAGCCAAATGAAAGAAGAAATACTTTGCATAGAAAATTCCTCTAGAGTTAAGCCTCAAATAGGATAATCCTCAGCCGTTGGGAATACATTTGAATAGAGTAGATTCATATTCATTGAATCCCCAATCACTAAGGTTCCTTGAAAACTCCACAATCCACGTGCCATTCCTGATGATCCATGGAAAGACTCCTAGACTGCAACCTCCATATGGCTGAGTGGTAGCAAATATCCGGGGTAAATTGAAGTATGAGACTGTGTAAAGCTTTATGTAATTTGCACACATAATCTGGATGCTTAGGATCTTCAAAACCACATAGCTGGCACTTACTGACATCTTCTTTAGGTAGCAATCCTAGAACGCAATTTTTACCATTAAGTTCATGAATGTGCCACAGAAAAGAGACAGAAGGAGAAAATTATCTGAACGTAGACTGGCTTGACCACCAGTCTGTAAATTTCATCTAATCAACCCCGTCCGTTGCGTCAATAACCGTGCCTTACGATGTTCAAGCATGCCATCAGATTTTGTTTAACTCAGTACACCCACTTAGAGCCAACAGCGTTCATTCCAGGAAGAGAACCTAAGGACTAGGTGCTGCTTTCTGGGAGGGCGTTTATACACAACTGTTATTGCATGCTTCCTAGCAGAGTGTTTGTTGGCTACCGTGGAACTGTAGGAGATAAAGATTAGGCTGATAACTCACTAGGACAGTCACAAGAAGGTTGGGAATTATATTTGGCTTCAAGGCTAATTTTCGTATTTTAATATTTGATATGTGTGCTCGGAACATTCATGGAAAAAAAAGAACTTAGTAATTAGCAATTCCATACTGTGGGCGGATGAGAGTCTAAAAATACAAAAACAGTAAAACATGAATAATACTCTTTGAAAGCAGTATGCAGACTCATGGATTATTTGATCTTGTTTATTTATTTATTTATTTATTTTTGGGCCACAGAATGTCATTCCTTAGTTAAGCTTCAAGTCCCTTGGGGATAAACCCCAGATCAAACAATCCACGGGTCTGCATATTGTTTTCAAAGAGTATATCCATGTTTTATATCTCTATCAATCGAGTAACTCCATAATTTAGACCTTCAGACACATTCATAAAAGCATTATGATCCCAAAGGAATTCCAAATCAATTCCTCGTTATTAGGACATTTTGCTTACAAGAAGCACAATTCAAATCAATTTCCAGACAGTACAAATTTATACTCATTACCAGGTATAAATCATGAAGAAATAGTGAGTAGAATTTACCCCTATGCGCTTCGCAACGCTGACATCCCGCCGCCGCTTCCAATATGCTTCCGGTCCTCGACTGCAAACTCATCCCTTCCGTCCTTTTTTTTCCTCTCTGCCATTTCACTTCCTAATTCCCTTTTTCTGTTGTTCTTTCCTTTTTCCTCCACCATCGCTCACCCTTCTCGGCCTCGCTTTTCCTTCTTCTCAGGCCCCTTGTCTCTCTTCTCTCTCTGTTTTTTTAATGGAGGGACAATGAGGGGAAAAAAGGACCTTTTAGGAATTTGCGAGACAAGCAAAAACTTTCATCATAAGAACAGCCGGTATAAAAATGCCTTTACCCAAAGATCGCATGGGATGAGCTGGAAAATTACTTGTTGTATTTGATATTTTTAAGGGCTAGTTTTTCCTTTTTGATGTATAGCACCAAATTTCAACTGGGTAGTTTTTCTTTTTTGATGTATAGCACCAAGTTTCAACTTTTTTCATGACCTTTAGATAAAGTTTGGCTTGAAAAACTATAAAATCTTTTAACAAATAATTAAGCCTGCTCTATAACAGCATAGAAATGAATTTAAAGTCCTAGTATCAACATTCTGTAACAGAAAGCTAATCCAACATCACAATAATTTTAAGAGAAATAATTGCCAGAAGTAACAAAACATGATGATGAAGTTGATTTATCCATTAAATCTGTTAATTGGTGAACATCTATCTGTATATCAGATACAAAATTGTTTCTGTATAAATTTGGAAACTAACAGACAAATAACAGCTGACTACTCTGTCCTTGATGTAAAGAAATTGACAGCGCACATCTGTTACTAGTAATCGACACTAGCGGTGCTTTCTCAGAATTTATATCAACACTTCGTTGAATCAAGGAAACTACATACTTCATGAAGGCTGCATCACAAGGCAATGTTATTGGTCCATCACTTGGTAGACCAAATTCTTCCTCGGACATCTTGAAGAGTTCTCTAATAATGGGATTGTTTAGATATGCTATAGGGAAGACAAAACGTTGTCTGTCAACTGTGTAAACAACAAAATGGCCTTTATCTGCCAGTGGCTTTGCGTTTTTAGCAGTTTGGTTCACATCTCCACTTGCTCTTGGCAGTGAAATTCTTTTCCTCTTGAGGGCTGCTACTCGCTGCCACTTCCTCGCCATCTTGATGAGCTTTTTTGTGCTGATCATTTTTCTCTAAAGCAACTGAGCCTAGAAAAGAAAATGGTGAATTTCTTGCTTGTTGAGTTGTGAAATGTGATGGTTGATCTGATGCAGAATGCAAGGGAGTTAGATGAGTTATATATTACTAGACCATCGAGACAGTTATTTTCATGTGGGTTACCCTTTGAGAGTTGTTTGGGAATACAGCCATGTGATTATTTGACATGGACTATTTCTTGATAGGTTACAATGTTGGATAATTTTACATTTGTGGTTGTGCATCCAGGTCCCTCAACCCTCATGGCCCAACATGTTTAAACACTAAGAGGGTATATTTTATTGGTGGACTGTTTGGCTGTTAGAAAAATAAAAAAGATACTAAATAACCAAAATCCCGGAAATTAAGCTTTCCGGCACAGGTGGTTTAACAATGTATAGGCCCCAGCAACTTATCCCAAAGGTCCTCTATCTGTAAAAGAATTCAGATAAAGATGGATCGATGACATTGAAAAACAGGTAACATGATGGAAATAAACAGATATTAATAATAACAATAATGGAATGGGAGCTAACTGGGTCTGTGTGTGGCCAACAAGCTTCTTGGACCTTGCAATCTGATAGTTGGGAAATATGGGAACCAGCGGATGTTGCCAATCCAAATGGAGACTCAGGTGGGTAAACCTTTTGATTTCTGTTGAGAAATATTTAAAATGGCTTGCTTTTAGCCACAGATAATTTTTTTTTTTTCTAGTTAATGCAGAACATGTTGGGGCCAAGATGCTATGTTCTGCACATGCCTAGATCTCCCAAATCTTTCTCATATTCCTTTCCAAACAGCACCTTCTTGAACCAGTCACAGATTTGCGTCACTTAAAGAGGATAAATTATTGACATAAATATATATGTGTACATATAGAGAAGATAAGTTCTTGACATAGATGTATATGTGTAGACATATAATCACTTAAGCTTTTGTTCCTATGGTCCTCAAAACTTTAGGGAGATTATTTTCTATTAGTCGCTGGCTTGGGGACCCTCCAATCTATAACTACTCACATGCTTGTGTATGCAAGAACTTCAAAGTGTAACCATTTAGCTAAATAGTGGTTAGTACAAAAGTATCTAACTTGAATTAAACATAAAACTTATTTAGAATTGGAACATTATTTTCGTTTAGTCTCTAACATACTTGTATCTTACTTCAATTCTTATATTTCAATAGAATTAAAATTTGAACTATTCACAACCTTAATACATTATCAAAGTAAAAAGACAACAAAATGGAGTCTCCACCGAAATTTTTTAGGCAATTACAGCTAGGGTAACACCATGTGCAATTCTATGTTGATTAAATTTAGACATTATCCGGTTTCTTTTTTTCTCTCTAGTTTTGATTCATTTTATATGGCAAGCCATTATCAAAGACAGCAATGAAATGAGGCTGAAGCACTGCAAAGATGCATGATACTAGGCAGCCTGCAGATAATGTTGGCTCATGGAATTGAAACATGTCACGTTGATGGACATGGGAAAATTTGTTGTCTGAGTATTGGTCTTCGTAATTATCACAGAGAGGTACTTTTTCTACTTCGTGAATAACATAGATTTCTAACTTATTCTTAGAGAATTTGCATGACAGAACTTTGGAAAAAGTCTGGCTTGAAAAATTACGAGCTATTGATTAGAGAAGTAACTTATCTCCCCTATAAATTATTCTTGTTAGATATGAATCAGTTGAAAATTCACGTGCAAATGTCAGCATTCTACAACACAAGCTAACATCAGAAGGAATTCTGAAAGAATAATTGGAAACTTCAAAAGAATATGAAGATAGAAAGTTCATTATCCATTAAGTTTACTAAGAAAAATTATCATTGTATCATATACAAATTTTTGGTTTAAGTTCGAGAACTAACAGACAAGTAACTGCTGTCTATTCTGCTCTTGATGCAGAAAACACGACATTGTGCATCTATTACTAGCAATTGACACTAGGAGTGCTTTCTCCAAATTTCTATCAAGACCCTTTTGAATCAAAGAAACTATATACTCCATGAAGACTGCATCGCAAGGCAATACGATTGGTCCTTCGCTTGGTAGACCAAATTCTTTCTCAGACATCTTATTGAGTTCTGTAATGATAGGATTGTTGAGAAATGCTATTGGGAAAAAAAAAAGTCTTTCATCAGCTATGTAAACAACAATATGGCCCTTATCTGCCACAGATGGTGCATTGCCAGTTTCTTGTTTTGTGCCTTGACTAGCTCTTGGGAGTGAAATTCTTTTCCTCTTTAGAGCTGCTACTCTGTGCCACTTCTTTGCCATCTTCATTAGTTTCTTTGTGCTGATCATCTTTTCTAGAGGAACTGAGCCAAAAAAAGAAAGAGGTGAAACTATTCTTTTTTGAATAATGGAATGTGATTGTCCATCTGATGCAGAATGCAACGGTGTGGGATGATTTATATACCGCCAGACCATTGAAACAGTTATTTTCATGTGGGGTGACCTTTTGAGGGGTTAATGGGTACACAGTCATGTGATATGTGATTATATGAAGTGGACAAATTTGTGAAAGGTCATATAATATTGGATAACTTACATTTGTGGTTGTGCATCCATGAGCTCCTCACCCCACATGGACCACTATGTTTAGATACTGAGAGAATATGATTCAAAGGTGCAGTGTTTGGCTAGTTGGACAATCAATAAGGAAACTGTATAGGAACACAAACCTGGAATTAATGGCCTACTGCAGGAGGTGTAGCAATGCATTAGGGCCCGGAAACTTATCTCAATGTTCTTCCATCAGTAAAATAATTCAAATACAGATGTATCAATGTTGTAGAAAAACATGCCAGCCATATTGTTTAACTGTTAGCAGTTGAGTTTTTTCTTGAACAGTGACTGCTGAAGTCAGAAAGTTATGATTGTTTTTTCCGTACTTTACTTTAGTTAGTAAGCGGCAGTTGAAAGGAATGGTGAACCATGTTTTGTAGCAAGAAAATCAGCAACTCTTGCTTGTTTTGGTTAACAAAATGATGTGTATTAGGTGATGATTTTGCTGACAGCTTATATTTGCTGTAGCAAAATATCTTCCTCTGAAAATGGTATATATATGTAAGGCTGATGAATTACAAAATGCAGATTTCACATTTCCACAAGTTGTCTCCTACTCTGCTGTATTTTCTTCTGCATTTACCTCTGCATTTTTTTTCTGCTCTCTTTTTTCTCACTGCAGACTCCACACATGCTGATTTAAATTTCTGCATTTTCCTTTCTCTGTTTTTTGTAATTACAAACACAAAAACAACAAGCTTTTGCCTCTATCAATGGTATCAGAGTAGTATTCGTTAAGGGTCTTAAGTTGTGAGTAATTCAAATGGCTTCAAATGTTAACTTGCCAGCTCTACCAGTATTTACAGGGGAGAATTATGATTATCGGGTAGTGAGAATGGAAGCCTATCTTCTTGCTTATGATTTGTGGAGCACTGTGGAGGAGGAGTATGTAAGAGTTCCATTACCTGATAATCCCACCTTACCACAGATTAGGCAAGACACAGAAGGGTCCTTGAGGATTTTCAAATCTTTTTCAATTCTTCATTCTACAGTGTCTGATGACATATTCCTAAGGCTGGTAGCCTTTCAAGACAGCCAAGAAAGCTTGAGATTATTTGAGGGAAAAATATTCTGGGAGTGCTAAAGTGAGAAGAGTAAGATTGTTGACTCTGAAAAGAGAGTTTGAGTTGTTGAGAATGCAGGAGGGAGAAAGTATTAAATAGTCTACAAGAGTTATGAATCTTGTTAATCAAATAAAGCTGCTTAGAGAAGAAAAAAGGAAAATCAATCCTCAACAAGTAAAGGAAAGCAGCCACAGATTCAGAAGATTCACCAGAAAAGGAAAGTGTCCTCCTTGTGGAAGTTGTGGTAAATTCAATCATCCTGAGAGTAAGTGATGGAAGCACGTACAATGCAAGATTTGCAAAAAGCATGATCATTCAGAGATTGTGTGCTGGAAGAGAAAAAATTAAGCATCACAGAAAAAAAACAGCAGCAACTACTTCAGCAACTGGAAGTCTATTTAGCTGAGAACCATGAACAGCAGTCTTTTCATAATGACTGAGGCATCTTGTGTGAGTGGAAGTGATTTTTGGTATGTGGACAATGGGTGCACAAGCCATATGGCCAAGGATCGTATGTTATTTAGTAACTTGGATGTTAATTGTAGAACTAAAGTGAAACTTGACAATGGAGCAGTTGTGGAAGCTCAAGAAAAAGACTCAATACCAATTCAAACTAAGAGGTATCAAACTCATAATTGATATGCTCTTTATTCCTGGTTTAGAGTAAAATTTGATGAATGTTACTATGCAAAACAAGAATTATTTCATTTTGTTCAAAAATGATTAGTATTTTATTTATGATCTAGCAAATATGCTACTAGTAAAGATTAAGAAAAATGAGAATAAATATGTGCTTGGTATGAAATATGCAAATCAATCTGTTTTTATTATCAATGATGATTTGATTTGCTTGTGGAACAAAAGATTTACTCACGACGATGTTGATTCTTTGAAGTTTATGCAAAAGAGTAGGGATGTGCTTGTTGATGAATCAACATTTTGAAATTGGGATAAGAAATGAATTGAAGCAAAGAAGCTTATAGAAGATGCAGCTGTTGCAACTTAAAAGATTCTGAAGTGTTCTTATTGAAAAGGTTTAACTTGATTTTGCAGAATTTGATGATCCAACTGCAAATACACTAGACATAAAAATCAAGTTATTGGTAGATGATTATGAAACGTGCAATTTGGTCATCATTGAACCAACAAACTATGAAGAGTCTACGACGTACAAGGAGTGACAGCTTGCCATGCATGAGGAGATTTTCATTAAACAACCTCAGGGGTTTGTAGTTGATGGAAAAACTGACATGGTATACAAGTTGAAGAAGGTCTTATATGGCCTCAAGCAGGCATCTAGGGTCTGGTATACAAGGATTGATTCACATATGATTAATCTTGGTTTTCTAAGAAGTGAGACTGAGTCAACTCTTTATGTGAAGAATTATCAAGATAAAGAGCAGCTCATTGTCTCGATTTATGTTGATGATTTGCTCATTAATGGTGGAAATCATCAACTGGTGCAGCAGTTTAAACAACAGAAGATGAAAGAATTTGCTATGTAATTGGAGAGATTCCCTTGCAACATGGTAGGACTAAGCATATAAAAGTTGAGTTTCATTTCTTGCGCGAAGCTGAGAAGAACCAAGAGATCTTTTTAGAGCATTGTAGATCAGAGGAACAATTTGCTGATATCCTAACTAAAGCTTAGAGATCCTGTTGGAGCATTGTAGATCAGAGGAACAACTTGCTGATATCCCAACTAAAGCTTTGCCCAGGGGACGGTTTAAAGACTTGAGAACCAAGCTTGGACTGTTCAAAGAAAACTCAAGGAATAGTGTTAGCAGTTGAGTTTTTTCTTGAACAGTGACTACTGAAGTCATAAAGTTATGATTGTTTTTTCTGTATTTTGCTTTAGTTAGTAAGTGACAGTTGAAAGGAATGGTAAAGCATGTTTTGCAGCAAGAAAATCAGCAACTCTTGCTTGTTTTGGTTAACAAAATGATGTGTATTAGGAGATGATTTTGCTGGCAGCTTGCATTTGCTGTAGCAAAATATCAGGCTCTGAAAATGATATATATATATATATATATGTGTGTGTGTAAGGTTGATGAATTACAAAATTCAGATTTCACATTTCCACCAGTTGTCTCCTACTCTGCTGTATTTTCTTCTGCATTTACCTCTGCATTTTTTTTCTGCTCTCTTTTTTCTCACTGCAGACTTCACACATGCTGATTTAAATTTCTGCATTTTCCCTTCTCTGTTTTTTGTAATTACAAACAAAAAAACAGCAAGTTTTTGCCTCTAACAATAACAAGACATAGTCAGAATTCTTTAGCTTGCAATCCACCACCTATATACGAGTCAGACTCCTGTAAGATAAATTAATCATATTGTTCTTTAACCATAATCGCATTCTTGATAATAAAATGGCAGATAAAGGCTAGGGGATTTTTAGACCTTTTGATTTCTGTTTAGAAATTATAGCTAGATTAAAGAAGCTTTGGTTTTAGCCACATAAGTTTCTTTTTTCTTTGCTAGTTACTGCTAAACATGTCGGGACCAAGATACTATGTCTTGCACATGCCTAGATCTGCCAAATCTTTCTCACTCATTTTTGACAAGTTGAATCTTTTAAGATCTTGAAACTGTTAAAGATTAATAGAAATTAAAGAATATAATGTGGTATATTTTATAGAAAAAGGAAGACAAGTAATGTATTATATGTATCCAATCATCTGTGCTTTTGTTTTGTTGTCCTTAGAAACAATGATAGAAATTATGCCCCATGTTTTTGTATGCATGAATCCCCTCAAAGTGTAACCCACATTAAAAGAAGTGTCTCATTGGTCTTGTGTTATATAACTCATCCAATTTAATTGCATTCTGCATCAGTCAGTAATCCCAAATTTCCAGTTCTCTAGAAAGTAGTTATCCACCTCTTTCTTTTTCAGGTTCATTTTCTTCAGATAAAATGATCAGCTCAAAGAAACTCATCAAGATGGCGAGGAAGTGGCAGCGACTAGTTGCCCTCAAGAGGAAATTTCACTGCCAGGAGCCAGCAGAAGACC